ATCTACCGCACAAATGCAGCAACAGGGAGATGTTCAGGCTGTAAATTGGAATACGTGCACGTGCTGGCCCTTGTAGTTACGTTGATACTCACTTGTTCAGACGTTGTCTCATAAATTCTCGTTCATGAATTGGTTTGATTTGATCCAAATGCGATTTGAGAGAAGCGGGGAGAAGTAATCCTCCTAAAGCTCTGTACGGTACAAATAGCTGGAGCTCTTTTAGGTTGTGGGCCAACGAACAAGTTATAACAGGTAAGCAAGGTGTGAAAGCGGTGGCAGCCGTTCTGCGTGGTATCTGCCCTTGTGCGTGTTTTACTCCTCTTTTGGAGAGCTGGTTTTGAATTTACATTTACAGCACGTGTTGCAAGTCTGCATGCTGGAGGAAGGAGGAGGAAGGGAAGGGGCTGTAACATCCTATTCACCGATTTCTTTAAGCTCGGTGGTGCTGTATAACATCAGCAGCAATCCTGAACGTACGCTGAAAAGTCATTGTCCTGATTCTATAGGATTTCTGTAACCTTCTTCCAGGGGTTTCCAGTCCTGTGCTCTTGACGTGTTGCCCGCTCGCTTCCTATTGGGAACAATGACTATATATAGCTTTGGCACACTTTTTGCTTTACCTTCAAAAAGTGCTTTGGTCGTGACTGTGCTATCTTAGAAGACTTTCATTCTAGAGAAGATCAATTTTAAAGGCCAGGAATAATAGGCAGCCCCTAGCCCCCTCTCCCTTGGCTCATTTTAAACCAGACACCAGCACGTGGGGAATCCCTCTAATTGGCATATGACTTGCTATCAGCCAGGTAGACCTCTCTGGAGTGCAGAGTTAATATCTATCTTTAAAACTTAGTGAGGCTAAAATACCAAGTGAATTAGAGGCAAAGTCATGTTGTTTCCCTGCCAGCGCTGAGATTTCAGCACTTGTATAAACATTATGATCTTGGAAGAGAACCATCATCTGAAAAGTCTGAAGTGATGAGTTTAGGTGGATTTCAACAGAAACGTTTATATTTTGTATAGGAGAAATTGCCTGTGGGTTATCACAGTGCTACAGTAGCTGTGCTCGTGGTCCGGTGATATCTTAGATGCTTACACCTAGACTCAAACTTTGAAAATGCTCAGAGCTTAAATGTGCCAAAGGAAGTTTGAGTGCTGCATTCCAGTAGGAAGCTTACCAAGGACATGGTATGATCCTTCCTAGAATAAAACCAGTCCCTCCAAACACTGATCTGAAATGGCAGCTGATCCTTACATACGTCTCTGGACTTGGTCCAAGGCTCAGGAGCTTATCAAGGGACAAAGTGCCCATCCTGAATGTTCAGCAGAAGGTCCCTTCTGGACACCAGGTTGTGATTGTGGGCTAGTGGCCTTTAATAGGCCTGCTGTAATTGCATAAGAGAACCTTTTTTTATTACTATTATTATTTTCATGGTAACCCAAACAACATTTTTGGTTGTCTGGGGTTATAATCTAAATCTTTTTTTTTAAATTGATGCTACACATTTTCACAGTTTGAGCCTCTCTTGTTATCCCTCTTAGCGCACACTGTTTGGACTATCGTAAAAATAAATACTAACACAGTCGTTGCAGTAAATAGAACTAGTTGTTTTTAGAGCAACTGTGTTCTTTTAATCTTGTAATAAAAAGGATTGCTTAGTGAAAATAGGACTGGTGAAGGGATGGGTGCAAAATACATTCATGAGCCTGGGGCTTGATGCTGTTATTAACAGATGCTCTAGAGCAGCACAAAAGCCTGCTTTCAGCAGCAAAGAGAGCGCTTCCCTTCCTCTGAATCCCCCTGTTTGTGCTTCCCTGGGGTGCATCCCGGCCCGCTCCAGCTAGAGGAGCAGGAGCTCCACTGCTGATCCGCAAGAAGGCCCTCCGGACGGGGACGCTGCCTGGCATCCCCCTAGCAGAGCCCCGCTACTGCGTGAAGCCTCCAGGAACAGCGGCCATGCGACGCTTTGCCGTGCCCCCTTTGGAGAAATCCAGGAGAAGAAACTGCCGGAGTTTCCAAAATATCCCATGGAATCGGAACGCCAAGCACAGTTAACGTGCTTAATATTACACCTCTGTGCTTCGTGCCTGTCAGATCGTGACTGGCAAATGCTTGACTGGTTAAAGGAAAAACAGTAAACAGAAACTCTGCATGGGATTAGGACTAACATCAAGTGTGTAACTGGTTTTACTGAGCTCAGCCTGTCCGCTCCTGTTGTCTCTAATGAGCATGCTTGGGTATGAGGAGGCTCAGTCAGGCTTCCTATGAGGAGCTTTGTTTTTCCATGTGGTATGAATGTACTTCCTTGTTTTGGCCTAACAGGGAAGGCTGATGCTTTGCTAGCAGCGTGGCAGGCCTTGTTTTTTATTGCAATTAACTCTTGCTTTATGCTGAAGTTACACTGTGTGCTGCACTTTAACATCCATGTAATGAAACGAAACCCTTCAGTATATAAAGTGAAGAGACAGGGGAAAGCGGGGTATGGCTATACCATCCCACCTGCAGAGGGTGTATATGTCTGAGTGCTCCTGCTCACTTTTGAATTAGTATGTGAAATGGAGCTTCTCTTCTGAAGCAGGCAGGCCGGATTGGATTTTTGTCCTTGTTTAGTCTAATTGAACAGCCAAAGCCATTAATTTTAAGGGGCGTGCTTGGCCAGAGACTGTTCCAGCCTAGCGTAAGTGGCAGGCTAAGCAGCTCTCTGGTTGTGGGATGCTAGGCAGTTCAAGGTGCTTCAGCAGATATCCCAGCTATTTCGTTCATTAAAAATTAAAAAACCCCATACCCTAGGCTGCATCAAGAAAAGCGTGGCCAGCATCGAGGGAGGGGATTCTGCCCCTCTGCTCTGCTCTGGGGAGACCTCCCCTGGAGCCCTGCATCCAGCTCTGGAGCCCTCAGCACAAGGAGGACATGGA